GAGTACACGACCAGCGTAACTCCACATCATTTTCAACCACAAGAATGGAATCAAAACTATAATGGGCTGCTCCCTATGTATGTATAATATGCCAAAATACACACTCTACTGTTATGTATATCTAAAACCAACAAATTAATCAATTAATTTTTAAAAAGGAATTATGGAAAGTTTTTCTTACTTTTTGTTTTTCTCCTCTTTTTTCTCAACTTCTTCCCCATGCCACCAAAACTTCTGGTTAGCAAAGAGGGCCCTGAGAGTACACCAGAGACTGGCTTAAAGTAAAACAACAGGTGCAACAAGGCCAGGGTGAGTTTGTGAACCAGCAGATGTAAGATGGGGGTGCTTCACCCTTTTTAAGACATTTCAATGTAGTTGTATGCACTTAGGGTTTTCTCTTCCTATAAACACTTACCTAACCCCCAGATCACAAGTGCATCAGAGCAGTGTACTTCATATCGAGGTCTGTGGCCACAGAAGGTGACACCTTTAGGAAAAACTGCTTGCTCCTGACAATGTCCTCATTAACTGTATATTCTACATCATCCACTTATTATCAACAAACCAATGGAATAGATGCCCTCCTTGTTTGTTTCATGGGTCACTAGTACTAGGAACTTCAGCTTCCAGAACAGAAGCAGTGTGACCAATAAATAAATAAAGCCTGTGATGGAAGGCCTTTTGACAGGACTAGAAGATTCAGAAGCAGTGCAGTTTCTACCAGTAAAAATAGTGAGAAAATGAAATGACAACACATAAGGTATTATCAGCAATCTCTGTGTGAGAGGAAAATTTGTTTCAGCAAAACATCCGTTAGATTAATGAAATGTAGTTGACAAATTTTGTATTGGTTTCTTGATGTTGACTGCATTAAACTTGTAGACTAATTTGCTCTTAAGATAGTATGACTGTCATACACAGAGGTAGAGTTTCATACTTGTGTATATTTAATTAACTATCATAATAGACAATTAAATCTGTATTATAGTCCATTAACTGGTTTTTTCCCTTTAAAAGAATTCCAAACATACAGGTTTGAGAAATTCTAACTTYAAGGCAGACCAAACAGCTGGCCAGTCCCAGCTTACGGCAACAAGAGGAAAGGAAGAAGGGCTGGCCAGGATGCTGCAAGGCAGGGTAGAAGACTGCTCTCCTCACAAGGTCAGTTCTGTCTATGGTGCTATTTCAAGAGACACAGAGGACTGGTTCCAGAAGCCACATTGATGTCAAAATCCCAGGGTTAGCTTAAGTCCCTTGTATAAATGGAGTAGTATTTGCACATAATCTATGCACTTCCACCCATACACTCTAAATCACCCTGATTGCTTAAGGTACCTACTAAAATATAAATGTTACATAAATAGTTGCTATACTGTACTGCTTGGAGAAAATAGAGAAAGTCCGTATATGCAGTCTTATCCTGTTTTCTGGTCTTTTTTTTTTTTTTTCTGAATATTTTCAACCCATGGCTGGTTGAATCTGCAGATAGGGAATCCACAGATATAGAGGTCTACAGTATTTTCAATTAATTTTAATTGACAGAAATAGCATGCACTGAAATGATACATATTACATTTTGGTATATGTATACATTGTAGAATGGCTGATGTGAATTAACTCACATTTATCATTTTTGTAGTTAGAAAACTTAAAATCAAAATCACTTAGAAATTTCTAATTCTCTCTATCCCTCCCCCTGATTTTTTTTTTTTCAGGGAGTCTGTGTATTCTTCTAAGAACAACAACATCTTATAGACAATTCTTTGAATTCAAAAGTATAAAGATAAAGGGAAATGACAGGAGAGCAATTTTTAGATATTTCTTTGTTGTGATCCTTAAAAGGAGAAAATTAAGAAGTTAAAAACAACCTATGATTTCACAGTTCAAATTTTAAGTCTGGAACCTAACAAAGGAATAAAACTCAAAGAATAACATTTGAGGAAAAGTGTGGAGATTTTGAGTCATACTTCATGAACTAAGCTTGATCCACAGATATCAAGAATATTCCCAAATATTTCTCACAAAATGTCTAAATGGTATGTGATAAAATTAACAAATAATCCTAGTGGTAAAATTTCTATAGATGTTTTCCTCATTTTGCAGGGAAAATAGGACTCAATTTATTTTCCAACACACAGCACTTGGACAGCACCCGAATTTAAACTCAAGTCTAGGTCATAATACTGAACTATCATTCTTTTTCTTAGAGTAGATGGACACATGGAATATAACAATTTATTCATTTTTGAAAAAATATTAAGTATCTTACGGTATTTTAAAATGGAATCCTGAAGTTTAGGACAGATCATCTAGTTCCATTTATAATATCCTTTCTAAATAAATCTAAATCCTTAGTCATAGATCAAGAAGCATATGTGGCTTCTAGTGGAACAGTCAGTCATCCTTGCATTAATCAAACCCTCATCAGAAATTATTAACAAGGAGAGAAATAATAAGACATTAATGATCGTCAGCTAAGCAAGGTTACATTCATTAGGAAATCATTAGTTACCAATGAAACAACAAAATAAAAAAAGAAAGGGATAACGAAAATCCCTACTGAAAAAGCTGGTATAAAATTAGGAAAGGCCTCCTCAGGCAGGAAGAAAAACAGGAGGGACAGGACTTGGGGAGAGAGWGCTTCCTTAATGTACCTGGGATAGGACTAAGCAGGTCTCAAATCCTTTAGACACTTATCCAATCAGCTTCAGAGAGTAAGCATTTAGCAGCTGCAGGCTGGCCTCAAGCATCCTCCCCAAGGGACCTAAGGTGGTTTGGTGGGRAAAAAAAGCAGTGCTATCATGTGACTTCAGGATTCCTTTGCTCTAAAACTTCCCATTTTGCAGCTGATGCCGGGAATTCTTTTCACAAAGAATAAAATATTYCCCTTCCACAATGAAAACAGTAATAATCAAACGTTAGTTAGAGTACATATTCTCACAAAGCTAAGAAACCTACAAAGACTGTGGGTTGTATATTTAAGTGCATGAGGCCAAACTAATAAGGCTAGGTCTATCAAGAAGCTTACATTCTCATGGTATCTTATAAATGAAAGAGCATAGCTATAAAGATGRGAATCACCTGATTTTTACAAAGCCAGATTCAAGAATCACAACAAAGTATGTAACATCACAAGTAAAATAATGTATATGTCAGAGCATTTATCATAGCTATGTAAGCATTTTCAACTTTCAAAACACTGAAGTTAATCTCATACAGAGTGGAGGGAAAATATAGAACATCTGGCAACTTCAGCAAGAATCAGTCCCACACTTAGTGCTTGAGATAGGGACGCTCTTTTTGAAGAAGCATCATGCTCTCTAACATGAAAGAGACTTCAACGAGGATTCACAAACCAGAGGAAGGAAAGTTCGCATGTGTGTCTATGCAACATACAAAGAACTGCTAATAAACTTTATTTCTCACACATCACTGTAAACACCATTACTGTAGCAGCCTCAAATTTAGAAACTAAGCAAATACGGACATAAAACAAGTTTTCTTTACCCTGGTTAAACAGCACAAGTGGAAAGTAAATGTTTTAGCATTTGGGATGGTTAAAACAAAAAGATTTAGGGAACACATAAATCTCAAGACATCTCTCTAAGCCCTATTCTTACTAATAATACATGTTTCAAATACAGATCAGAGGCTAAGTATCTCAGTTTCAGGCACACACACATCTGCATCATGTTGCTGACCTTGCACTGACATAAACAAAGACGCTGTCCCTCTATCTGTCTTTGGGAATACTTAATCGCCCAAAGGTTGCTCCACCTGGTGAAAATACCTCATTCATCCAGCCATCAGAGGCCAAAGATTCCAGGGTTTCATTTCAGAAACTAAAGTGCTCAAAAACTTCCATTAAGACACAAATATGAGACCAGRAGCCATGGCCTTCGCCAGTTATCCCAGCAGCTGGGCAGACTGAGGCAGGAGGATCAAGAGTCCAAAGCCAGCCTCAGCAAAAGTAGGACGCTAAGCAACTCAGTGAGACCCTGTCTCTAAACAAAAATACAAAATAGGGCTGGRGATGTAGCTCAGTGGTCTAGTGCCCCTGAGTTCATTCCCAGGTACTCCCCCAACCCCGCCAAAAAAAAAAAAAAAAAAGATGCAAATATGTCCTGGGAAAGGTAATTAAGCCTTATCATTAGTCACTCAATTCCTTGTATGGGATGCAAAGTATAAAAAGTTTCAGATTAACTTTTTAGTCTTAGTAATTGAACGTGAAGTTCCAAAGCAGGAAAGAAGAAAATAAAATGCTGTCAGGAGGTATAAGGGTGGGAGGCTGGAGAAGCCCTGAGGGTAGTTACATTCCTCGGAAGTTCTGATTGACCTTTAGCCCCTGAACTCTCACCCTCAGGCTCTACCAACACCACACACAATGTAAACCAGAACTAAATGCGCACAGGAAACTTGCAAAGGATTTAAACTCACTGGTGCCATACTAACTTTGATCATCTTACTAAATAGCAAAACTTAAATATGTAATTTTTTAAAAGCCGACTCAATGACTGTGGCCAGGGACAAGCTATTTACGTATATRAAAAATTGATAATTGTCTTTGAAAATAAGACTAGCTTAATTTCATCTTTAAAAATGTTCTTGACCCCCTCCCTTTTAAGGAATTTTTAAAAAGTGTTCAAACTAGGCACATATACACACACACAAAAAAAAAAAAAAAAAAATTCAAGGAAAGTAAAAGCCCCCAACAACTTTCCAGCGGTGTGATGAGAAAGGTGACTTTGAATGACTTTCCTTAGGATATACTCTGTATCCCTTACGAAACTTTCCCTTCTCTGCAGACGTGAAAGTAAATAAGAACACCTAAGAACAAACTTTGTTGGTCACCAGCAGGGGAGCTCTTCAGCTTTTGTCCCCAAATCCATTCAAACAAAAGAAGCTCCGTCTCCTCCAACCCAACCCTCGGACCCACACCCGGCGGGGACTCTCCAGATCCTGGCGCGCTCCCTTCCCTCCCAAGCCGGTCTCCAACTTACTCCTCAGCGCCCCAATAAGCAAAGAGCCGTCCTTAATGAGCTCTTTGATGAACTTGTTGGTTCGCTCCAACTCAATCTCGTGACATTGCAGTCGCTCCCTGAAATCCGGACTGTCCAAGTAGGAATCGCTGAACTCCAGAGTGGGTAGCCCCATGGCACAAGCAATGCCAGCTGCGGCTGAGGGCACGTCGGGGCCGGCGGTCAGGGTAGGGACAGCCGGCGACCGCGGCCGGCGCTGGGGACGCGCGATCGCGGAGAACGCGCCGGGACGCAAGGGGACGGCGCGGAGGAAACGGGCCCCGCGCGCCGAGCCGCCTGCGCCGGGCTAGTCTTCCTCCCCAAAGGCAAGGCGAACGCAGGCACGGGCGGCTGGCCAAGGCGCGGGTCTGCTCAGGTCGTTGTCATGGGGGCGCATCGTCGCTCAAAGCACTAGGGTGGAGAGGCTCCGGGCCGCAGCCGGGGCAGCAAAGTTTCTCCCACGGCGCGCAGACACTTCCGGCAGCTCCACTCTCGTACTCTCTTGACAGTCGTTGGCGCTGTGAGTCCGAAGCGCCCAGCGGCAAGTCCGGCAGGGCACGGGAAACCCTCCCCCTCCACGAACGCAGGCTCAGTCGGAGAGCTTGCAAATCGGGCCTGGGCTCCGAGACCCTCCTCCCCGTMGCCGCACTCCCACTCCGCCCCCCACCCGCCCATTTACCCTCTTGCCCCCGCCCACCCTCCCGCACTTTGCTCAGGGCTCCCAGCATTGCAGTGGCCAAACAACTCCTGCCTATGCCCCAGGCGTTAACCCTGTCCCCTCCTGGGCGCCTGTCTCCACTGGCCCAGGGTGACACCGAGATCCAGCACTCCACAAAGAATCTCCAACTCCTAAAATACATGCCTATCACTTCTCTCCTTCATCCACTCCTTAGAATGCCTGGGTGAGAAACCAATGTTAACTTTCCCCAAAGTTTGAATATTTGGAAGACACTACTTATAGCGTTAGTTTATATTTACTTGATACTTCCCCCACTGCATGCATACAAATTGCAAGTTGAGACTTGTCTCTTTCCCACCCCTCAATTTCATCAATCCAGACTAATGTAATAGTATTTTTTTTTTTCTCAGTTGACGGGAAGATTTTTCAGTCATTCCTAACCTGTCCCAAGAAAGCACCTTGGACTTAGGTGCTCTTACTAATAGATGAATATTTATTTGCATCACAATATTAGTATGTTGTATTGGCATTTGGATGGAATCATCCTAGAAGCAGGGTGATTTTCAAATCACTGAAGTGGGCAGAAGTTTCAAACAGTAGTTAGTTCATTCATACTAACAGGCTATTCCCCATCTGGTAGAGGTCCATCTAATAAATTTCTGTTCTTGCAACTTTGACAGCAAGAGAAATTTCTGATATACATCTCATCTGCTATCATCTATAGGATTTTTGAGACTCAGTTACTTTTCTTAAGTATCTGCTTTTAATTTCTATTTTTTTCATTGCTTTGTCCATTTGAACCATCTGTTAACTCTTCTACAGATCATGGGAAAAAATCCATTAAAGTGCTTTACATTTTTCCCAATTAAGTTTCAAGGGAACTTCAAGACATTTAGTTTCATTTTTWAAAAAATATACATAAACGTTAAAAATAGCATGTAGGGATGGGGATATAGCTCAGTGGTATAGTGCCTGCCTAGCATGCATGAGACCCTGGGTTTGATCCCCAATACCAGAAAAAAMAATTGCATGTAAACTAAAACAAATATGATCATGTAAACAGTATGTTTGATGGTTTGGTTTAAATTCTTCTAGACCAAGGAATTCAGATTTTAAAACCTTACAATTCAGATTTTAAAACCTTACATATTTTCACTATTCATTCTCAACATGTTGGCAAAAAGACCAATCACAATTACATAATTCCAAGTGTTGAACTAGTATCTGTCAATTAAATAAGCCTCATTCAGTGGCATAGGGGAAACAATAATGTTTGTCAGATAATGGAATAACATGAACAGCCATGGACTGTTTTTCACCTAAGGTGATTTTACAACTATTCATCATCGCCTGAAAGACAAAAAGCCAGTCCAGCCAAATAAATAAGTTTCCTTTCAACTTTTGCCATGTTGCTATTCCAAGCAACTAAATCCAATGCCAACTGCTGAGATATGAAACAGGATAAAATATAACAATCTCTTCTTGTTTTTCATTAAATCAAAGTCCTATGATTAATTCTTTAAAAATGCATCAACAGTCTTTGATAAGTAGCATTTAGTATGTTGGGTGTCAATCTTTGGTTTTCTGTGGAGTCTTACATGTCAGGGCAGATTTATTCTAGATTCTAAGATATGGGTTCTCATTTACCCATTCATGTATGTAGYTGCATGTTTTATGCCTGCCTTCTACATTATTAGGATCTGGATAGAGAAGTGGATTATATATAGAAAGATACATAAAGCAAAGCATTGTACCTGATCTTAAGCTGCTCTCAGAAATTAAAATACATTGAAGAAGTCCTGGTATAATCCAAGGCAAAACATGCTGTGTTCCACAACTTCACACAGATGTTGTACCAATAATGTCACTGATGCCATTCATCATCAATTTTTCCACTCAGGTCCATCATTGCTTTTATGTGGAATCAAGATGTTCCATCTGTCCTTCACCCATTAGTGTATAAAGTTTAGTGTGTTGTAAATAAACTTTTCTCTTGTAGGTGCTTTCAGGGTTACTCATGACTTGTTCCATGATTCATACTTTAATTATACCTGCTAGTCAGGCTTTTTTTTTATGCCACATTAACCCAGCTACTTGAGAGACACCAGAAATGATTTTGCTTTGAGGTGGATTTACTGTCAGTTTTGAACCTGATTCTTTCCAAGAGAAAAGGTTTATAAATAAAAGATTGTCTACACCTGCAGCTTGTCTGAATGTGAGTTTTTAATGGGCTGAAATGTAGGTAGCCTTTCCAAAAGTTTCCACTTCACAATGTGTGGCACTGCCAGCCACTTGGTTAGCTTCACAAATATTGTTGGCTGACATGAGCTTTGGCATGGTAACTGGCACAGAGAAATGACTGTTTGTTTTCTTAATTCTGAATGGGGGTGTGTGTGGAGTTCTGTCTGTTTTTATTTAAGAGCAAATAGGTTGTAGGGGATAGTAAACAAATACCTGGTATTTGTAAACCTGCCTAAAACTTTTTTCTTCACCTACTAATTGTCTGTTCTGTAATATGCACACAGTAAATGTTACTGTCAAGTTGTTATTTTTCAGTTAGTTAGATAGACTTAAGCCTCCCAGCCTCAGATATCCCAAGTTAAATTCAAGTATGGTAAAGAGTAACTGAACAGAGAACATCTCAGCCCTTCTTGAAGTGAGGCGGCAGATATATTGTCACTGTTTGCATTCCTACCTGTGCACTATAATGTCCCAAAACATGTTCCTTGAAAGTAGGTTTTATATCATTCTAACTCAATCTTACATCATGTCTAGAAAAACAATATTGTACCCAAATGAACAAAAACACACGATTTCATTTCTAAAACACTTTTTTTGTGGTTAAATGTAGATGACATAAAATTTACCACCTTAACCATATTTAAGTGCACAATTCARTGACATCAAGTACATTCACATTCTTGTGCCATCATGGCCACCTTCCACGTCCAGAACGTTCTCATCTTCCCCAAATGAGACTCAGTGCCCATTAAACAGTGATTCCTTATTGCCCTGGTAACCATCATTCTACTTTCTATCTCTATGAATTTGACAATTTGATGCCTTGTATCAGTGGGATCAATACAGTGCCCTTTTGTGTCTGTCTTATTTTCCTTAAGTGATTCAGCCACTATTGAGAGAAGCAAAGAAGACCTAAGAACCAGATTGTGTATTTAAAATCACATACATAACTTTTTGCATTCACAATTTMTTAGAGTCTCTTCTACCAGCAGAAAAGGAAAGTCCAGATTAAGCCTTTAGATAACAGCTAGTTTATTCTGCCTTATTAAAAGCATTCCCATTATTATTTTTGTCCCACACAATGTTTCTAACATCATTATTTCTTCCAGATTGGTGGTGTATGATATTGTACACTCCAGTAGACAAGCATTCACATCATTAGCAACAGCAGCCTACGTGACTTAGTAACATTATCTTTTGCAGCTAAAAAAAAAAAAAAAAAATGCTCCCACAAGTTGCAAAGGCCCTCTCAACATCTGTTGTGAAACACCAACAAATGCTAAAGATAGCTTATGTTGAAAAAAAACTTTGCTTTGTCTGGAGGTTAGACATGGTAGTCTTTCACAGGAAGACCACAGAACACAGACCACATTGTATGAGTCTATGRATTGCAAGGGCTCATTATCCAATAAAAGGACTAAAGAGCAATGATTGGAAGACCAAAAAGCTAAAATCTAAGTGGTTGAGAGCTGAGAAGAGAGYTTGGATAAGGTAGGTAGGTAGGTACTCTTGAGATAGTGAAGAGATGAGCAGAAGCAGGTTAAGTAAAGGAAGGAAATGTACCATGTGACATCATGGATGAAGCAGGAATTCGGTAAAACTCTCAAGATTTGAGCCCACACAACTCAAAAGCATTACCCTTTTTAAAAATAATATAGATAGGTYTAGTTTTCCACGCTGAATTGTAGGTAAATTAATATAACGAAGAGGTGTTGTCCAAGAGGGAAGCACAGCCATGATCCTCAGGATGCAGGGTTGGTTACAGAGGGGGCACTGGCCACAGCAAGCCCAGACCACCAACTAAGCCAGCCAGAGTGACTGCAGAGGGCGCCTGTGACCAAAGGCCTTCCAGCTCTGAGGTTTGTGTTATATTGATTTCTGAGCAAGAGGAACAAGAAAAGGGGCAGAAATCTAAGCATAAAAGCCACATCAACTAAGTACACTTATGAGGGGAGGAGAGAAAGAGACTGGAGGGTAGGCAGAGAGAGGTGTCAACTGTTTTAAGTTGAGGAAAAACTTTACTTAGGCATAGATTTTGATATGATTTCCATTTAGTATTGCCCCCTTGTGGCAAATTATGATGTTTGGTAACAGAAAACCAGGAAGAGAAAAAAAGACTACACACACACACACACACACACACACAAAAAAAAAAAACAACTCCTTCATGTACTGGGCATGAAATTCAGAGTTCTTACCTACATCACTTCAGTGGCCTCGTTTTCTTTCTTTCTTTCTTTTTTTAATACCTTCATTTTGTTTATTTATTTTTTTATGTGGTGCTAAGAATGGAACCCAGTGCCTCACACATGCTAGGTGAGCACTCTACCACTGAGCCACCACCCCAGCCCCTCGTTTTCTTTTATGTGGTCTTGGGAGTGGAACCCAGGACCTTGGCATGGGCTAGGCAAGCCCTCCAAGACCCAGTTTCCCACTAGGTGAGGAAGTTATGACAAAATGGTTAACTTACTTAAATTTACAAAGTTAGAAGTGCCCGGAGTTGAGAATTCAGTTCAGTGTATCTAGCTTAAAAAAGCATAATTTAAAAAAAATGTATTTAACAAATATTTATAGGTATCTATCATTGATGGATTCTGCACAGATGCTGGAAATGTAAGAGTAAGAAAAAATTAACCTCAATCCTGTTCTAACTAAATTTTC